CCCTTCTTCAGCATAACATGATCATCCACACATTCTAATCCTTCTTCATTGCATTGTGTGCAGCCTTCAAAAAGATGGGTACGATGAAATCCTTTCAGACAGCTGCAAGCTCTAAACCCAGCAAATGTGGAAGTATTTGTACCTACAAAAAGCAAAAGTCTGTTAGTTGAATTAAATGTATTGAAATCACGAAAATAATTTTTTTTTCCATTTTTAAAAAACACATAAATAAAGTTTGAAAGCTTGCAGGTTTTGGCAGTTGAAGGCTTCATTGTCAAATGAGTTTAAATAGAACAAAGCTGCTTCATAAGAAAGTTTCACCGCCTTGAATTACAAGGACAGCATAGCCATGCCGAACAAACAAACAAACAAACAAAGCATAGGCAAAACCCTAAGGATATGGGTAAATAAATGCTCACTTCAAAACCGAGGTCAAGCTTTTCAATCTAGCCTGAGAAAAAAGCCGAGATTTGGAGACGCTACCACTGGTTTCCCGGCCAGGTGATGTCTGAGAAACGAGCGCAGAAATTCCATACTGATGAGGAGTCACTACCCAGATCTGGGTAGTGACTCTGATTGGTTGAATCAAATTTCCCACGGGCAAGACCAATCAGAAGCACTACCCAGATCTGGGTAGTGACGCGTCATCAGTATGGACTTTCTGTGCTCGTTTCTCAGACGTCATTTGGCGGGAAACCAGTGGTAGCGTCGCCAAATGTCGGCTGTTTTCTCAGGCTATTTTGTATCTTACTCGACAATAGTCCTTATGCATGTCTACTTCAGACGAGTAAATTTAACCACCAAAGCTCGTTTTGAAATTTTAAAAGTTATAGAATTTTGCATAAATGAATTCCAATGGGAGTAGAGTTGAAAAGAATACTCACGCTCATTAAGTGAAAATGAGAAGTTTGCTTAGAAACGAGGCTTGGTGGTGAAATTTGCTCGTCTGACGTAATCAAGCTTAAGTGCCATTGCAAAAGCAGAGAATCTCGTTCAGTCTTCACCTTTATTATCTGACCAGTTTTATCTGAACTTCACAGACGTCATCAGATACTTTGAACAAGCTAACAGGGATAACGCAGTTTCTGTACACTTTTCACATTCCATCTTCTAACTAGGTCGTGAGTTCGATTCTCACCTGGAGCTCGAAAAATTTTTCTGAGCTTTCTGGTGTTTGATTTTCCTTCTTCTTTAATTATAAATTACAATCAAACCAGGTCAAGCGTATCACCATAGATTATAATGATGAACTCATTATATACAAGTTATTAACCGAGAGTGAGGTCATTATGGGGAAATCACCGTAATGACCGAACGGACAAAGTTAATAAGTGGCCATTTAGCGCTATAAATATATAACACCGCAAGTAATTGAGCCTGCAATCAATTAAAACCAATAACTCGTCAGTGCATAGCTTAAAAAAAAAAACAAATCACCTCAATGGGTTGTAAACTTGAGCCCGCGATACAGACATGTCACACTTGTCAGCGGATACCTTTTTTCACAGCTCTCAATTGACCATAACATAGATTTTCACTATCGAGTTAAACAAAGATTGTATATGCCTTGGACACCTAGCGAATAATGCTGGCCATTACAAGAAACTTTTGCCAGCTTAGCAGCCAATCAGAACACTCGTAGTTTTGTAGCCATATAATAGTTGACATTTTGAAATCTTGTGGTGATTCTCATCATTCTTACTAGCATCCGATGAGCAGTAAAATCAGCAGATGGTTAAAATTATTTTGTTTTCTTCTTCAGTTAGAGATAGAATTTTATTCAAAAGCCATCGAAGACGATTTCTCTTAATCTGATAGAATGCTGAGAATCTGCAGCGCGAAATTCACTGCCCATTCAGCATGCAAGAATGTGGTCAATGTTTGACTAAGTTTGACTATAAAATATGCTTACCTTGTGGACAAGCAACGCACTCACGGGCGCTTTTACCAGGCGCCTTAGTGTATGGCACAAAAGTTCCATCTGGACATCTGAGGCAGCTGTCATTGACAAACGCTATGGTATCCGAATAGAAGCCTCCTATAAGAAAGTGTAATTAGAGTGAAAGTGTCCTAGAAATAAATTTAAATTTGTAGTCCCAAAATATGACTAAAATGGATCTACAGAGCGGACAAAAAGTAGTTAGTTTGGGGTAAAATTGCCAGGTTACAACATCCTTGGTTTTTGGTCCGACGTTCCTTTTTAAATTCCATGACCTACAAATAATGTAGAATTCCCGTAATATGATTGGTTCCTTTGGACGGACTTTACTATCAGGGGCAGATCCAGGATTTTTTTTAGGAGGGGGTGCACTCGTCTCTTGCTCTTCTCCAACTCCAATAAGCCACGTAGTTTTGTTTTGTTTTTTTTTTTCAGAATACCAGTTGTATTAGAAAACCGCAGGTCATCTCAGGGGAAGGTGCGCACGCCCTGCACCCTCTCCCTAGATCCGCCCCTGACTATTGTATGGCATAAGAAAAAAAAAGCTAGCATCTGGTCGTATTAAGAGTCCAATAAATGTGGCTGGCTGGATACTGGGAAAGTTAGTACCAGTTTTTGGGTTTTCATGAACCGGGACAAAAGAGAGTTTGAGCATCACGTATACGGCAAACGGCAAACGTCAGATTCAAGTTGAGAATTTCTCAAAATAGAAAATGAGCAGATAAAAACAGCTCAAAACAATTCTTATGGATAAAAAATTGCATGAAACTACTAATTTGTGTTGAAATAATGAAAAGTAAACGACAATTAAAGTTGAAGTACTGGACCCAACGTTGTTCGCCTTGTACACTAATGACCTACCAAGTGCTGTTACCTATGGCTCTGTCTTTATGTAAGCGGATGACACCACCTTTTATTGCATAGGGGACACTGTTGATAACACTGTCACTTCTTTAAATAAAGCTTTATCGGAACTGAATAGTTGGTGCTTAGAGAACTCTTTAACTCCTCATTCAGTAAAGTGCGAAGTTATGCTATTAATGAGAAAACCGCACATTGGGTCTCTAAATTCTGTGTCTGTTGGAGAGGATCGGATCGAGTGTGTGAAACACACTCGTCTTTTCAGCGTTACTATCGGTGACAGGCTTTCCTGGTCACACTACCTTACAGATGTAAAAAAGAATTTTTTTCACAAACTGAACCTCCTGAAAAGGAATTCGTTTTTGTGCAGAGAAGCACTATTGGACTTGTGCTCCAAGATAATATTACCATCATTTTTGTATGGACTTGGTTGTTTTGGGGCGGCTGCCCTAATGCGGACCTTGTACATTCACTGGAAGTACTTGACTGTAAGGCTGCCAGAATAATATACAACTTGCCCCGCGATGTGCCTACTGATGAAGTATACAGAAATTGAATTGGAATACTTTAATACTTATATTATAAAATTATTAATTAATTAAACTACTCCATAGCGTGTTTATCGGTTTAACACCTGTGGCTCTTTCATACTTGACAAATAAATCTTGCACTGCGTACAATTTCAGAAGTAGTAATAACATAATTGTCCAGCGTTTTAACTCGCAGTTTCTTAAAAACTCTATTAGCTATAGAGGCGCTATTCTTTGAAACACGGTTCTCGACTCATCTTACAGGCCAGTTTACTGTTTTTATCGCGAAGTGAAGAAGGACTCTTATTTTAAGGAACTTGATTTTAGCGCACAGTCGGTCCAGTCGCTGCCTAGGCACTACCAAGAGTTTAAATGTTTTTAACTATTTTATGTTTTAAATGCTGTAGTCAAATTACTTAGTGGTAACTATTTAAATTCATTTTAACATTGCATCTTTTTAAAATTCTTACTGTATATTTTTAGAGTTTTTGTTTTAGTTGTATATTGTAAGTAATGTTATCCCTATTTTTATTATAGTTCTATATTCATTTGTAACCACTTTTACACGACCCCACAAGCTTTGACCTTTAAATCCTTTCGTGTTTAAATAAAGGATATATTGTTGTTGGGAAACTTGGTCACCTGATTCAAATTCGCGTTTGCCGTTAGATGTAAACGTGATGCTTAACCTCTCTATTGTCGAAGTCAGTAAAACGCCAGAAAGAAAGAGCAAGGCCAATTAATATCCAGCCATCTTGTTGACATTCTTCTTGGGCAATTCAAAGACAAGTAGACCGTTTAACTGATAAATTCAGCTCACAATGTGTCACAACAAATTTTTGCAAAGAGAAAACTATTAAATAAATAGTTTTCTAGTAGCAATACAATAGAAATAAGATAATGTAACTCGGGGACGATTTTGAAAATGTTGAAAAGTCTTACAGCAATTGTTTCATCACTTTTAAAATTCCCGTGTGAAAAACCTCCATGGAATTCCATGGAATTCCATGGATTTCCATGGAAAATTCTCCATGGAATTCCATGGAGGATTAGGACATCAATTTCCATGGAATTCCATGGAAATCTCCCCACAGATTTCCATGGAAAATATTTGCATGGAGGATTAGGACATTTCCCATGGAATTCCATGGAAAACATTAGGACACCAATTTCCATGGAAATTTCTGCATCGACATTTTCCATGGAATTCCATGGAAAAGTTCCATGCAACTCCATAGAAACTACTGCATCGATTATTCCATGCATCTCCAGGAAGTTTCATGGAATTCACAGGAATGACACATTTAAAATATCCACTGAATCAAATGGAATACATAACAGATTTTGGTCCACTGCAATTTATTTAATCAATAAAAGGACCGCATAAATCTCTTTTCAAAGGTATCAATCAAAAGTTAACATGCTTTTGGCGGAAAATTTGACATACTGTAGCTAAAACAAATTAATGTTTACTTGTGACTATACACATTGCAGTTTAGAATGCAGCAATCATATTGAAGTAGCTTAAATGAAAAATTTAGATTTAATATAAAGCAAGGAATCTTGGCCTGGTGTTTAAGAGAAGTAACAGGCGAACAGATGCATAATTGAGAGAAAAAAATAAGCTAATACTAATGAATGCATAAACCGTCAGTATTTAAGACTTAAACATGGCTTTATTTAATCCGACGAAAAAGGGAAGTGCTACTTATTTCCTCGATCAGAACCATGGTATTTAGTTATAGCAAAGTCCTACCTAATCCTTGGGAAAAACGGCGTCGGCCACAATTATAATTTATCAGTCTCTTGTACAGTTTTTACGTAGCAAGTATGAAAATTCTAAAGACGATATTTCTTCTTATACATCGAGGCAGTCCATCGAGTACAGTCTTCAATTTTATCAGTCTCTTGTACAGTTTTTACGTAGCAGGCATGAAAATTCTAAAGACGATATTTCTTCTTATACATCGAAGCAGTCCATCGAAGTAGAGTCTAATTCTGCTAGAATTAGTAACTATTCCGAAGGATTCCAAAGGTAATTTGCAAGAAAGACCACATTCATATCTGTATAAACAAAAAAGATGAAAACTACACATTAAAACCGATAAACAGCACCCGAAAAGTCACCCTTCTAAATCTAGCAGAGACAATCGAGCGAACGAATTCAGTTGAGCAACCAAACACGAGTTGTGTACATATTAAGCTTACCTTCCTCCTTTAATGTGCGATCCAGCTGAGTCATTGTTCAATCGAAGTCGATTTGAAACAAGCCAAATGTAAGCAACCTCACAAGTGATATTTTGCGCTGAAAATAACATCTTTTCCGATGCTTTCATTGCAAAGACAATCCGTTTACACAACACTGTCGTACTGCACAGAAGTCCACCTAAAGGTTCGAACCAAGAAAACTGATCTTCTACGCATTTCTATTGGTTCAAAAGCCCCACGTGATCGCGTAAGTCACTGAGCGGAGAGACCTGGACGCCAGTTCAAGCACCAAACATGGCGTCAAATCACGGCACGATCGTGGAGATGTCTGTCTTTAAAGGCTTTAAATTGTGGTCCATCTCAGAGTTAATTGTACTATTCCGACACTGTCGAAGAGTAAAGCAGTGAGAGGAAAATATTGCATTGTTCTCCCAGGTGAGGGAACCTTTGAAAAAAGGCAGCAGGCCTATTCATAGCCTGATACACAGCGACACGCAACGCTCCTCCCCACTAAAAACGGCTGTGTAGCAGACTAGCCTATCCACGGATGGGGCAAAAAAGCTCTAATATTGCTTGTGTAGGTTCGCCGAAATACTCCATGCAAAGCAATCTCATCAATCAGGTTGGACTCGAGTAATATAGGGAAAATCTTAGCTCTCAACCAAAAACACTTCGATACCGAGATGAGTTATGTGCCTACTGGGATCATTTTCTACTGGCTATTTAAGTACGGGACCCGTACATCGTCTTGTATTTGCTATTCATACGGGATTCCGACTAAACTGATATATTAGGGCTATTAAAGTACTGACTCGAAACAGTTAGCTTCTAATTAGGGTTACGGTTGCTTTTATATGAGTAAAAAGCAGCGAGTTACTACTCCGTGGTAGAGTGGTTAGGTTACGAACTGTGGATTCTACGCCCCTGGATCGGTTCTCAATCTTGCCACATCGAATTTTTCTTCTTTTCAAAATTTGCCACTGAAATTTTTCCTTAAAAATGGAACAGTGGTTGAAGAGACTTACACTTTCATGGAAATTTGTTGATCAGAAATTTCAAGAGACTTGAAAATTTCATATAAATTTCAAGTAGAGACTTGATCCCGTATTTCATAGCAAATACACGTTGGTGTACAGGTCCTGTACGTATGGCAGCACTGTGTCAATGTAATGAAGCAACTGCATATTGTTAATAACAGTGATCTTCTCATATTTTAAATGTAACACTGCTTTTAAAAGATAAATGGCAGACAGCCCTACTAAAAAACAATTTTCTATTTTTTTTTTTTTTTTAACAGGATCATTTTTTTATTAAGCACTCAAAACATTCCTCTTTATAGTTAGCAATAAAGCTTCTTACACTGGGACTTTCAGCGTCACCTTTCGGTGAACAATACTTTTGCATTGTCTGTCTAATTTAAACTAAATGCACTATTTTACTTTCAGAAAGCTTCCAAATGTTTCCTATTTGTCTATCCAATAAAAAGTGCAGACTTGAACATGTGGTTAACGAGTTGATGAGTTGCTTGATTACTGAATTTCTATGGATTTTCTCATACAAACTCTATGGTATTCTATCGAACTCCATGGAGACGCTATGGCATTCCATGAAACTGCATCGGTACTTCAGGGAGCCCCATGGCATTCCATGGAACTCTACAATATTCCCTGGAATTCCATGGACCTCCAAGGAAACTCCATGGAATTTCATGGCATTCCATGGAACTCCGTCACTACTTCTTGGAACTCCGTGGAACTCCATGGCATTCCATGGAACTCCATGGATACTCCATGGAACTCCATGGCATTCCATGGAACTCCATGGATACTCCATGGATACTCCATGGAAGTTCCGTGGAATTCCATGGATTTCCATAGATTTCCATGGATTTCCATGGAATTCCATGGAATTCCATAGAGGTATTTTAGACGGGCTATTAGCGCTTAATTCGCACTCGAACTCTACCACTGCTGTTTGTGATTCGAATTAATCATTACCCATAAGACAAGAAAAAGCTCCAATAATAATCATGTAACACAATATATATTTTACCTGCAGGACATTCGACGCATTCTAGACGACTTGCGTTTACAAAAGTACCAAGTGGACATGGTCGTAAATTGTACTCATTTAGAGTTGCATCCGCAAAACCAGCTCGCTTAAATGAATCGCGTAGTACTGTGTTGCTGCCCGAATATTTCCGAAGGTCAAGGGAAGTAGAGTTATCTTGACCCAAGCCGCTAAATTGAAAGATATAAATGTTTCAGTAAAAACGTTTATAAAATGTAAGAAATTCACATTAAGGTCGTTCAAAAGATCGGTCCATCTTATTTATCGAACGTGTTCTGTATTATTTGATGGCTTTTAGAAACCGCACTTTTAATTAGTTAATTATACATCTAGCCGGATTTTTGATAACGTTATCGCCAAACGGACCTTTTGTGTCGAACAATTTTTTCGGCCAAAAGTAGCTATTATATAAACTAAGAGTGAAACCATTGCTTTTTTCTTCTTCTTCTTCTTCTTTTTCTTCTTTCCTTCTCCTCGCTCTTTCTTTTTCCTTTTCCTTCGTTACCATGATTTTGGAGCTTCTCGGGCTTAAGAAACCTGCCTTTTGACGCTTTTTCACTCAAATAACTGCAAATGTCGTTAGGTTGGTTTTCAAAAAATCGGCTAGACATATTCTCATAATAATATGAAATAAAGAAAGAAGATATATCTAGATTGAGTTCACAAGTTTAAAGCCGAGGTTGCTAAACTTAGCCGGCAATCTGTGGAATTTTCAGGTTTTTACAAGTAATATCTACGTAATATCCAAGGATATAGCAGTCATCAAAATCTGCAAAATTGCTAAAGAGGGAAGCAAATCTGCTAACGAGCTTTTAAATGAAGCTATTCTGCATAATATATTGGGCTCAAATGCTCAAAGATAACTAATATTGTCGAACCATCATGAGCGACCTGCTTTCGTAAGCGAAAGTCCCCCACTCTGTGAAACGTTGCATGGATCTCTGTGGGTCAATACGGCCGCACATTCGCATCAGGTGTTAAGACGTGCATTTTCCAAAGAGTTCCAGACATTCACTTTCTTTAAGATTTCTATAGCATTGTACATTCAGTAAGCAAGCCATCGCCTCGAAATCCCTTTATGAATTTTCTTAAAGCTGTTACTCTTTTCGTGATTTTCATTTTCCTACTAAGTTAATAATGGAACTGAGTGAAGTGCAATTTGGTCTAACATCATACACGTGATCTAAATAACAAGAACTTGAATCAAATGGTAGAACACTGATCGTACCTTAGAAGTTGCCTGCAAAGATTCCCTTCCAAAAGGTAGATGTGTGCACCCCTCTTTTCGGAAGCCACCACTTTTGATTCGATTCTCGTTAGTGACCACTATAGCTTGGCTTTTTGGTTTTCGCTTATGAGAGGTTCGACTTCTATTGCAACGCTCTTTCAACATCAAGACGGGTGATATTTATAAAATTTTGATCAGAGAATGATAAGTTTTTAAAAAAAAAGCGGCAGAAAAGGGACAAAAATCCAGATTCACCTATACCTCACAGTGCGAGTTGAGAAAATGGGTTCGGCAAAATTTAACTTCATCTTTTCAGTATAGTTTACATCGGGTTGATGGATGAAGCTAAAGTAACTCAGTAAATGAAGGTCAAAGACAATGCAACCGCATATTAGAATATTTATTAAGGCATTAAAGAAAGTTACGAACAGATAAATAGTGCAGCGCTCTCGTTGAAATGAATCCGAAACGTTCATGGTACCAATTTTACCATCATTCATCGTTCTACAAAAGAAAACGAAAAATGGATAGTTAAGTCTTTCTTATTGATATCAAAGCCCGATTCGCTACGAGCGAAGCAACTGATAGCAAGGACACTAATAATTGAGTTTTATATAGAATTCTTCATGAAAAGTGTGCTCGTACGGTGTTGCACAATTGCAAGCTGTTAACGTATCCTAAATTGAAGGAGTGAGCGCAGTGAACGAGTGTGATTCCTTATAAAACAAGAATCGCCGAAAGGCGATTTTTAACTGGGCTGCAAAGGGGCTATATTTTCTGAGGGGAGGGGGCAGCTATACACACATCAGGCTACTACAAAACTTTGTCGCCGACCATTGCATGCGACAGAATCTTATGTAAGACTGAAACATAAACTAATTCACAACATTGTACCCTTTTGAAAGACGTTCGTAACCAAAAAAAAGAGTACCATTTTCAAGTGGGGGCTGTATAATAACTTTTAAATTCCACCATTATGAATAAAAATAAACAAGTTAGCCATTAATTCTAAGCAGGAAACGATTTGCATTATTTTCACGCACCCCTCCCCCAATCCCTCTGTGCCCCAAAATATAGCGTGACAGTATAACGTGACTAATTTGACGTAACCGGAAATTCCAAAAATTGTTGTCGTTCTACGAGCATAAAGTGCGACGGACGGAGCTGATTTACACTAGACAGAAATATTGTATTGTATGAAAACCAGAAGTATACTAAAACAGACAGCCAACTGCCCATTGATCCCGCCTGATCCGGGGGCCTCTGACTGCACTGAGACTTTACTGCGCTTTTCACAAACATTCGAACTCTAAACTTCAAAAGCCACCTTCACAATTGTGTTTTCCGCTGCCGTCAATCATAATTACGATCACAAGCGACGAACCTTGAAACAGAGAAACACAAAACGGATCGAAATCCACAAATCACAAACCATGACCTTTTGAACCCGTGAAGTAAAGTTTTGTTTCCTAAGAGGTCCGTTAAGATAAGATGATTGACAGCAGCGAAAAACGCAATCGTTGGTTTGCTTCTGCACTTTAGAATTCGCATGTTTGTGAGACGTGCAGTAAATAGACGATCGTAATTTGCGGTCTACAGTCTACATGAAAACGCAGTATTTTTTCCACAAGATAAAAAATATTCAGTTCGAAGATTGTTCTCTTGGTATATTTCTCTAACTTAAAGGAATAAAATCCTTTGCATTTTGTGACCTAAAAAAGTTTAAAGATTTCTCGCTTGCATGTTGCTTTCATCAGCACGCACTTCAAACAATGTAAATAGATGAAACGATCGACAACATATTTTTTACCTGATACCGATATGAGTTAAAAATTCGCTCCAGTTCATTGTTTGTCTCACCCATGACTAACTTTTCTTCATGGACGATAACTATGCCGCTTTATAACTCCTCCAAAGTTTTTGTGCCAGCTAAACAATATGGAATCACTATTCACAGTCCTTGGATATTAAAAAACTGAGCGTGACGCAGTATTGTGACTTTGTTTACTTCTGATCACATCTTCAAGAGAAGTCTCTCTTTTCAAACGATTCATCTCAATGAACAATAATTGACCCTTATAGTTAAAAACCCTATGGTTCATTTACTGAGTATATTAATGCTGTTTTTGCCCCTCACATTGACTGTGTTCGTTCGTATTCAAAACACCTTAAGGAAAATAAAGGTCATATGTAGACGAAAATGAACTGTATTTTATTCCAAGGATTGTCAGGCTCGATTCCTAAAGGTTACAACACTCCGAAGGGTCCAACTTCTAAAGGATTACACAGGATTCCACAGATTCAATTCACTAAAGGCTCACAGATCGTCAAGATGGCTACAAGAACGCAACACGTTTTCGGATCTCTCCCAGAAGGCCTAGCGCGCTCCTAAACTCTTACGTCATCGCGCACACCCCCCCCCCCGTGGACCATGAAGAATGGTCCACCTTCTATACCTAGAATCAAATATCGAAAAGAAATTTAAAAAAAATAATGATATAACTCAGTGAATATAGTCTCTCTCAAAAAAACTGTTCAATGTTCAGAATACATAAACAAACTTAATGTTCGTCTTGTAATTCAGCAATCCACTGTCTTCTTCTTCGCTCTCCCTCGACTGCAGCTCTTCGCCGCTCTCGATTTCCTCTCGCTCGACCTCGCGTCGGCTGTTCCGGTGATTCAAGTACTTGTTCCTGAGGGGCTGCTTCATTTGCAGAACAGCTTACTTCCAGTGGGTACAACAATTGTAGCGGTCTCCTTAAGAGTCCACCTCCACTTGATCCTCTCCCTTGGACTCTGACCTCAGCACCTCTACTCTGCCCATCCTTGCTCATCAGAAGCCGTTCCACCTTGCCCATCTTCCAATAAGATCTTGGGTGGGTTTCGTCATGATCCAATACCAGATCTCCGACACACACTACCCTTGATCCCGCCGTCTTCTTCAATTGGTTATGGGCATTTCGTAATTAAAGAAGGTATTCTGCTCTCCAACGCTTCCAAAAAATGAGTCAGAATCATATCAAGGTGTCTTGCTCTTCTGCTCAGGTCGTCGGGCGAAATTCTAAAGTCTGCATCTGCAGGACTGTCTATTTCAGGAAGGGCGCCTAGTCTTCGACCAACAATGAGGTGGGACGGTGTGAGGGGTTCTTCCAGGTCCTCAGAAGAGACATATGAAATGGGTCGGCAATTTAAGATCATTTCAGCTTCTGTAACAACAGTTACAAGTTCATCATAGGAAAGCTTGGCTCGGCCGATTGTCTTCTTAAGACATCTCTTCAGTGACTTGACAAGTCGTTCGTAAAAGCCTCCCCACCATGGGGCTTTCTCTAAGTTGTAGGACCATTTGATCTTCTCTTGAGCAAAGTACTTAACAACACTGGGATCATTTGTAATCTTCTCAAGCTCCTTAGAAGCACTCTTGAAGGTCTTGGCATTGTCTGATACCACTAAAGAAGGCCTTGAACGACGAGCTACAAATCTCCTGAAACACCTCAGAAATGCCTCTGAAGTCATATTGGGCACAACCTCGAAGTGGACCGCCGTCGTAGAACAACAAGTAAACAAACAAATCCAGACCTTACATTCTTCGTCACTGGTAGACTTCACAAAAAGAGGTCCA